CTAAAGAAAATAATCAAAAATATATTTTTTTAATTCTCTATAAAAATTTTCTATTTTATCAATATTGTAAAAATGCGAATATTATAGAATTATTAAAGTATTTTAATGAACCAGAAGATTGTACTTCTAAATTTTGAAATTAATTAGCAAAAATAGGACAATCTGGTGCTTTTAAAGATAACCAAATTTTTTTTTAGATTATGTGAAATTTTTGTAGAAATGACAAATCATATTAATAAAAGAAAAGGGCTTCAAAATATTAGATATGCTGAACAATTTTCTAATTTTTTAACTATTTTAGCTAGTAGTAGTCCACAAACATATGCTATTTTTTAACAAAATCTTGCAGAAAAAACAATTAGAAATATTTAGTAAATAATTTTTTTATTATAAATAATATAGTGATACTGTATAATTGTATACTATCTAATTATATAAAAAAAATAGTCTTTAATTATTATTTCAAAAATGATTTGTATAACTTAAATGCATATATGTACTATTTATATGTATTAAAAAATCTTTGACAAATAGTATACAATTAAACAGTATTCACTATATATTATAAAAATTTTAAATTCTTTTTTATTTTCAATTTAGTATACAATGTGCTCAATCAGATTTTACACTTAATAATCTATCAATATGTTTTAAAAATATGGCTAAATTTAAAAAACTTTTAATTAGCATTAATTATAATAGACCAATTGCAGCATCAATAGATAATACAAAACTTGAAGAAAAATTACATTATTCTGCAAGTTTAGGTGCAATTCCTGGATCTATATTGTCATTACATGAAACTTTAGTAACTTCTTATAATGAAATTGATACTATTATAAAAAAATTCAAGCTAATAATGCGATAGCAAAATATATCTATATATATTTTACAAGTATTAGTTCTAAAAGTACCACTATTTGTACGTGGAATTATTCCAAATAATAGTGAAAATGTATTTGATGTATATGAAATTCATAATCAGGTTTTAGAACTTGCTGCATATTTTAATATTCATATATTATCAATTG